ATGTCTCCGGGCGAGCTTGATGAGCTTCGTCGCCAACTCAAGGARCTCATAGAGAAGGGTTGGATCCGGCCGAKTGTCTCTCCTTACGGATCTCCAGTACTATTTGTACCTAAGAAGAAGGAGGGCACTCTCAGGATGTGCATTGATTATAGGGGCCTCAATGCCATCACTGTGAAGAATAGAGAGCCCCTACCGCGCATCGATGATCTGCCTGTTACAGCACTTGTACATATTGTGACCATATTGACCACACTTGATACAAGCTTGCCGTGTCCACCGGTCTCTCCACACGTCCTCTGATAGACCCACTTTCTCCCATGGAGGAGCATTGGGGTCATTTTGGTCACAATATGTACAAGTGCCGTAACAGGCAGATCATCGATGCGCGGTAGGGGCTCTCTATTCTTCACAGTGATGGCATTGAGGCCCCTATAATCAATGCACATCCTGAGAGTGCCCTCCTTCTTCTTAGGTACAAATAGTACTGGAGATCCGTAAGGAGAGACACTCGGCCGGATCCAACCCTTCTCTATGAGTTCCTTGAGTTGGCGACGAAGCTCATCAAGCTCGCCCGGAGACATCCGATAGATCCTGAAGGATGGTAGTTTGATGCTCCTGCATTTCTATTACGCCTAGCAGGGCCCTCCTAAAAATAAACTACGCAAAGACTCACTATTGGGAACACACAATCGTTTATTGATTCTGAATCTATTCACCTGGGTGGAATTGGGGCTGTTGTGGGGAAAATCTAAAACACACATGCACACACATGCACACACATGCACACACGCACACACACACACACACACACACACACACACACACACACACACACACGCACAGAGGGAGAGAGAGTCGGTGAAAGCAAATTGGAATGGTGCAGAGAAGATCGGCATGGCCCTTGCACGAGGTGGGTGCAACAGCACACGTACACACTTGCACACACACGTGCATGCCCCCTCCCTCGCACCCCCACACGCACACCCACACACCCAAAGAGATGGGTGCAAGACATGGAGGAGAGAGTGCGCAATAGCACACACACACACACACTCGCACATACGCGCAAGCCCCCCACACGCGCACCCGGACACACCCACCCACCCACCCACCCACACCCACACACACCCACACACACCCACACACACCACACACACCCACACACACCCACACACACCCACACACTCAACCACACCCACACACCCCTAGCTCTGTGATGGCCGTCGGATCTTCGCAGTGAGCCACACACACCCACGCACACACGCTCAAACACACACACACACAGGGAGAGAGAGAGTCGGTGGAAGAAAATTGGAACGGTGTAGAGAAGATCGGTATGGCACATGCACGACGATGACACACAAATCGACAGTCTCCGTGAAAGTCCGACGAAACAGTCTGGCACAGTCATGCTTTTTAGCAAACATGACACAACACTCAGACACACGCACACACACACACGAGGAGCATACCTTCCCTTTTACTCTGCCTCCTGAAATAATGTGGATGTGGGCCGTGAAGGCACACGGGAATGTGGGCAGCTGCCGCTCAACCACAATCAACGTGGGCAGCCTTGTGCGTAAGAGGCACAGTAAAAGGGGAGCTGCAAGAACACTGAAAGGGGTACCCCAAGGACAACCTTGCCTTGCATCTGTAGTTAAATGGCAAACGCAAAGCTGAAGAACGATTGAAGTTGCTGGATAAGACTTATGTGATGTATGGCAATTTGTCAGTTCGTGTCACGGGCTAGTGTCAAATGCCAGCTCAATGTTGATTGAAGTTTCCGGATAAGACGTGTGACATATAACGATTTGGCAGTTCACGTCACAAGTTCTCACAACTAAAACAAAAATATTAACAATTTGTCAGTTCATGTCACAACTTGTCCCTCGTGGCATCTGTTAACTTTGGAACAACACAGGCAAGCTTACCATGGCCCCTGTGCAAAGATGATGCATGCATTGAGAAAATTATTTGCAAGGAAAATGAGGGAGAGCGAATGACGGATATCCAAATTGCATCATCACACTGAAAAGCAGATAGTCGTGTGTCGCACAGAAAGCAGAATCCACCAAATATACACCAAATAAGAGCGAAGCAATGATCTCAAATGCCAATGTCAGCCTTTCTTCTTGGCACCATCAACATTGTATCCAATGTCCCTCAACACAAATCAGTAACACCTATCCTAGCCTATGCTACCAGAAGACTTCAGCTGCAGAACTGATGTACGTGCAGATGTTGCCCATGGGTACCTCCGCCACGACTCAGGTATGCCCCCCATCTCTCTCTCTACCTCATCCCTTGTCTGTCCCTTGTCATGCATGCCACCATGACCAAAAGACCACCTTCCAGCCGAACGGCAACCAAGGAGCAGCAGCCCGGCTACGACTGCTCTCCAGCGCTGCTTCCAGCAGTGCTCCACCCTGCACCCTTGTATGCCTAGCCTCTCCAGCCAGCGGCTCTTAGTGCTCAAACCAGCAGCGCTGCCGCATGACTGCCTGAGGGCAGAATGTCTGGCTGGGCAGCTGGCACTTTCCTTTATGAAAAGTGCTTGCCTCGCGGGTGGCCCAGTAGGTTCACGTACCAGTCAGGCATCTGCGCCCACGCCCAGATTCAGATATCGGCCTGGGATCGAAACAGTAAGAACCGCCCAGCTGTCCGGCGTGGCCCCTGCTGTTTGCTGGATTCCCATTCGCTGAGAGCCAATGTGAAACGTGGCTTTCTCGCAGCTGTGCGGCCCAGACCCCGGCCTGCGGTCACATACAGCCTGTGTAACCAACTGGCGCCCAGTAACTGGCTGGTGCCCCCACGTTCTCAGAACTGTCCAAAAATAGGCCGTGCAGGGAAAAATGTTAGGCCCTCTTTCACCTAGGGCGGGGCTCACTGCTCGTCAATGGGGCCCTTTGGACACTGCCGAGGGCTCAAACCCGTGCAGATTGTGCAAGGCTTGACGTTTACCTTGGGCGTGCTGGTAGTCCTAGGCCACCGTCAATGAGATTAGTCATCCACCAATTTTATTTTTTTTATTGTTGGTGGTCTAATGAAGATACCTAGCAGGAAGAGGAGCCATTATTTGACCCCACATTTGTTTGGCCTAGACATGGGGTTTGGGATTGGAATGTAATTGTCATGTTTAAGGGAAATCTTGCAGTGAAAATTTGGTGGGCTTGATGAGGGCCCCACCGGAAACTTTCCAAGACTGGGGTGGTTGTGACACTCGAACAGAGGTGAAAGACTGCTTCTTGAATAGAGGAAGACTCAAAATTATCTGATTGTTTTTCTGTTTATGAAAATGCAGGCAATGTCCGACAGGATTGAACAGATGGAGTTCGAGCTTGAGAACAAAGACAAGGTGGGTATGCAACTTCGCAAAGTGAACGTATGTGAACTTTAGTTCTCTGCAGCTGCAATATGATCTGCTATGTACTTTGTGTTGACTTGGGAATTCTACCTCATTGTACTTAACGTTACACTGTGGTTCTCTATGTTGAACACTGTGGACGCTTCACAGACTATTGAGGATCTTCAGGAGGCGTTTGGTGCATTGAGGAGACAGCATGGTGGCTTGACTGCCAAGAATGACAACACTGAGGTGTGTATAAACTCTGGGGGCATGGTGTGCGTGATGTAGGATCTTTCATCCGTGCAGGATTCCAGACGTCAGATCTTGTTTTGCTGAAGTATATTTTGTTAGCCAGTGTTGCAGTAGGCATGGAGAAGCAAGAAAGAGGATGAATGGCAGCGTTTAAATATTCATTGGAGAAATCTGAAATGTTGCACTGTACTTGGCTTTTTTTTTTTTTTTTTTTTTTTTTTTT